GGGTTCGGTTAATCGGGTTTATTCTTTACTCGATGCATTTTGGCTTTTGGCTTATTGATTATTGTGATGGTGACGCGTGGGGGGTTTGGACGGCTGGATTGGGAATTAAAGAGAAGTTTTTGGAGTTATTGGTTTTCTTTCTTTTCTGGTGAGTCAGAGTCACGGTGACGGAGACTGACCAGCAGATGACGGAGCGGAGAAGGAAGCTTCCCGCTGTTGGCTTGGCGGGTGCACGGCTATGTCAAAAATGCGCCCAAGTGCCAGTGAGTGGGACCTGACCTATTTGATGATATCGAATTTACAGTATATTTGTTCCCAGGATCCTTCTTATTATAAGTTATAACCTCTCATTCAATCAAGTTTCCCAAGAACTTGCACAATAATAAATGGATCAGGGAATTTCCAATTCAACTTTTAAAATGTTACTATAACTTCGATGTGAACTGAATTTTATTAACTTATACTATAACTAATTTAGAATTACATTAAAATTATAAGAACTTACATTAAAAATCATTACAACAACTGAGCTGTGCTGAATTAGACAGAATAAATCAACAAGTGAAGCATTATTGTTGACTAATTAATAGTCCCTTCATGCAAAACTGGGAAAAAGATAGAAAAACGAGAAATGTTCATCTGACTTCTCAAGCCAACGAATCAAGGAAGATGGACAGACAGACAGACGTGGTATAATTGCCTTAGCAGTTCTCCATAACACAATTAGGTGGTGCTTTTGACGCCATTAGATTTGGCTGGTTCTAGTTGGTTTTCACTCTACCCTGCTCCCGTGGGAGGATGACAAGTGTTTCTTACAGTTTAACTTTAGTTAATTCGCTCTAGAGGCGACTCAGGATTAAAGACTAGCTCTTGCTTCTTCTAAGAAGCTTCAGCAAAGTGATGAAGCTAGCAGTAGTGTTACTTGCTCTTCCGTTGTATAAGCCATGCGTTTGGTCCCAAGACTCAAAGTCATGCTATCGGCACAAGCATAAAGTTGACTGTTCTTGATGACTCATTCTCCGAATGCAATTTTTCTCGTCCGTGCTCTATTTCTCCGAACCCACCTATCATTTTCTCCTCAATTAGGTTATGTACTATTACACATTTTCTAGGAGGTTTCTCAAATGAAGAAATATCATAAAGGTAAATGCTTTTGTTTGCTTTCCTTTTCTGAGTGCTCCAAATCCCATAATTATGACTTCGACCCGCCAAATGATGCATTTGGTCTGTAATTTCCTGTTCCTGCTTTTCCATACTTGGTCAACTCTCCGTCTCTAGATATCAACCTTGCTCCAAGGTCTCCTCTAGCCAGAAGTTTTGTTTTCATTGTGAGTTCTCGAATCAATCTTGGTTCGTGTTTTTGAAGGTTTTTGTGGGCTTTAGATTGCTGTTGCAGGAGATTTTAAAGTTTCTTTTTGAAGGCTTTGTAGTGCGACTGATGGGAAGTGCAAGTTCGAGTAGGAGAAACATTTCGTCCTTCAGCTCATCTTCTTCTAGCTATGCTGGTTACCAGAGATCACCATACCCTCAACAGCCTCCGTATTACACCCCTCAGCCTCACCATGCACCTGCTTCCTTCAACTATGGTGCCCGGACTCCTCAGCCATATCAGAAGTCAGATAGCAGATATTCGAGGATAGCCGATAACTATGAAACCTTAGACCAGGTAAGGCCATTTGAAGATTTGTGTTCTGTTTTGCTCTCCAAATTATGTCCAAACGTCATCAACTGCTGTTAGTGAATCTCTACCTTAGGTAACAGCTGCACTGTCCGAGGCAGGATTAGAGTCATCTAACCTTATAGTTGGTATTGATGTCACAAAGAGCAATGAGTGGACAGGTATTGATATTCCCTTCTGCGCTTTGCTATTTAATGGCTTCATCCAGTAAGCTAATGGTTTCAGCTAAAACTAGGTGCAAGGTCATTCAAGCACAAAAGCTTACATCATATGGGAAATGTTCAGAATCCCTATGAGCAGGCAATTTCCATCATTGGGAAAACCTTATCTGCCTTTGATGAGGACAACTTGATTCCGTGTTTCGGATTTGGAGATGGTACGCAATATGAGTTTATCTACATACAAGATGTTCAGGTTTTGATCTGTATATACCTTGCGTAAAGGTGTTTATTTCTGCATGCAGCCTCAACACATGATCAAGATGTATTTAGTTTCTATCCAGATGCTAGATCTTGTAATGGATTTGAAGAAGTGCTTAGAAGATACAGGGAATTAGTTCCCCGTCTAAGACTTTCAGGTGCGTTTTCGCTTTGGGTCAACTGTTAGGTGTACCTCAGACTTCCATCTATTTTACACTCGAAGTTTCTTCCTTCATTGTTGCAGGACCAACATCTTTTGCACCTATCATTGAAATGGCTATGAGAATCGTAGAGGACAGTGTTGGCCAATATCATGTTTTGCTAATAATTGCTGATGGACAAGTAATGTTTTACTCTACCGTTTCTTAACTGTGAAATTCATTTGCTTCACACTTCCACTTTTGCTTAATCCCCTTATTTCTCAGTTATCGTAGTTGGATGGGAATGGGGCATCTCAGCTTCTATCTTCATGGTTACTTCCCGTCATCTTCATGGTTGTTGGGGAGGGGGGGGGGGAATAATGTTCTCTGAATTTCACCTATGGCTTTGCGACAATTTTTTGTGCCTCAGGCTTTTTCTGAATGGAAATGTTAACCAATAATGACATCTTTCGTTACTTACACCTACTCTCTAGGTGACAAGAAGTACTGAGACTCCCCGTGGCCAACTTAGTCAACAGGAGCAGAAGACAGTTGATGCCATTGTCAGAGCAAGGTAGAGTGGCATACTGAGCTCGAGAAAAGCTATAGCGTAGTTTACCAACATTCATCTTCTAATGCATCTGCAATTGCAGTGACTATCCATTATCAATAGTTCTAGTTGGGGTTGGAGATGGTCCTTGGGACATGATGAGGGAGTTTGATGATAACATCCCTGCAAGAGCATTTGATAATTTTCAGGTCAGCAGTAACTTGGCCATTCAGTTACTGAAACTAATGACAGCATTGACTTCTCATGTGACTTGCCTGATCCTAAATGTATCACTAGGAAGCCATAAACTTGTGTGTTCTAAACTTTTCTCTGTCCAGTTTGTCAATTTTACGGAGATTATGTCAAAGGACGTGGATCCATCGAGAAAACAAGCAGAATTTGCTCTTGCTGCCTTGATGGAAATACCTTCTCAGTACAAAGCTACGATTGAACTCGGCATGTTGGGGTACAAATTTGAAAACTTTCGCTTGCAGACTATCATATATTGGTTTTTATATACGGTCTCTGATCCAGTAACATCATCAGATGCGAAACAAAGAAGGCTCCAGGCAGGAGACCTCTTCCTCCTCCTATTTATGGCAGCAGCTTGAAATCATGTCGTCCGAACAGTTTCCAGCGTAGTGCTCAATCTTATCCTTATCCTTTCCCTGAGATTGCTGCTCAGAAGGCTCCATCATCAAGCTCTCTTCTGGATAACAAGGTAAACAAAGATATATTCGTTGCAGGAGTTTTCCAGTGATCCTGAATAACTGCTGTAATGTTTTATTCGTGAACAAAACTGTGTTCAATTCGAGTAACTATCACAGTCGCAGATTAATTTTGTTGTACCGCGCAAGTGTCTTCAAACCATTGCTGTGCAAGAGTCATTAAGACAATCCCCAATCTCCACACTGAATTCTCTGGTTTCTAGTAACTTGTTCTGGGCATGTTGCAAGCAAACTGGACATGTATTACATGAAAGATTATTATCTACATGAATCAGTCTAAACTAATCGGAACCTAGTTTGATACGATAAAATGTATGATTATGAACTAGTTGAAACCTTCTGGAGCCTCAAATGTTGGCGGAATAAATCCTGACAAGCCAGACCATAACCCGCACCTTGTAATTCATTTCCCTGCCAACCGCCCCCTAGTTCAAACTTTCATCTCTTCTAATCCTATTATTCTTGACAGGTCTGCACCAATTGTCTAGGCAGTACTAAGGGCCTGGCATTTGAATGTGGGCATCAGGTATACGAGATATAATGTGACAATTTGTTACTCAATGAATCCTTTCTTTTTTAACTATCTTTAATCTAACAAAAAGAACATCATCGGACAGGCTTGCTATAACTGTGGAATAGATCTTCAGTCATGCCCAATATGCCAGATGCCAATAACAATCAAAATAAAGCTCTATTCTTAGCTGTATGCGGGGATCCGACGTTCTTCATTCCATCGTGCTGTGTTCAGCACATGCTGCTCACAGATTTCATGGTCTTTCTGCATGGACAAATAAACTTTTTCGCTTATTGATCTCTGTTAGTGGAGTTGTTTCTGTAGTATCATTCCTCAGTGTGCTTTGACGGTAATCACAAGATTTTCATTTTCCAGGAACCTGGAAGACGGGGCTTCTCTGATTGATATGATCAGGCCACTTTTTATTGGAGCAAGAGCGCCTGATTGGCAAAGGCCAATAAAGATATCCCAAGTGAAATGCTAATTTAATCAAGATTTCCGTGGAACTTTCTGTTCGTCTCTGGGTTGATTCCTCTCCTTGCTGACGCACCAGACACTAGTTGGTTAAGAATATTATTGATTAATCTTGGTAGAAACGAACGATTGGATGGTGGCGCTGCTCGAAGACCATACCGTGGCTCAGTGCATCATGTAATCCGGCTTGATTCTCTAAGGTCATGCTTTTAGATCATGTAATTTTTTTTTTGGGAGGATGGGATTTAATTTTGTCTGATTATACAGCTGTTCGAAGTGTAGAGGGCGAGGGAGATGAGTCCAACAAATCTTGATAATACTCCTGAGTGGGTATCCAGATGTGGTCTAAGAAATGTTTTTGTGATGCACTTGGAATTCCAATAAATGTCTTCGATGTCTGTCCACAGCTTGTGGCCGGCTCCTAACGCTTGTTTTCGGCAACATATTTCGGCACTGGTACTAAAAGATTAAGAAAAGCAAAGCGCTGAGACAACAAATGATGCAAAAGACCGCATTATAACTACACTATCATTGATTTCTGATTGTAAAATGGTTCTGTGTGCCTCCCTTATCCTGCCTAAGCTTGTGTAGCTTTTAGTCAGGTGCGACTTTGGCCCGTGCATTTTGTTTGAGATACAGGGCAAATGAATGAATAAATCAAATCTTGCTAAGGAGCCATATTATGGGATTCGATATGGCTCTCCAGCTCCCATCCTGTTGGCTTTTGGAGAAACTGGTTAGACTCCAGGTAGTTACGAATGTTAATAATTGCCATGTTCAACTTTGTGTTTTCCTGCTCTCCTAATGCACTTAAGAAGTTACGAGCCATAAGACGTAGTATCTTCTTGAACTGTACTCCATATCTCCTGTACATTGCAAATCCAGCCATCTGGTCATGGAAAATTTCTTAGGACCCAGAAAATTTTAGGCGAACTTAACAACAGATGTGTTAGGAAAGTTTTTGAATTAACTTACTTGAAGAAATGACTCGAGAGCAACAACTGTATAAAGATTCGGTGGGAGACCATTGAGGAACCTGGCAAGCCATGCCCAACCTTCTGCAAGGCCATGCAAGTTTTGGATACCCTCAAGTTCAGTCTGCAAAATATGCAATTTAATCAGTACTGTCAATATGCACTAATGGAATCGTAATATAGTGAGTACAAGATAGACAAACCTGGACTATAGCTGCATAAAGTTTCACACACAAACTCAAGCGTGAAACATATCTATCTGTACTTTCAATATCCCCATCTTCTTCTCTGTAACCAATGGCTTTGTAGTATGCTTCTTTAGTCTGAAATGCTGACTGTAAACAAAGAAATAGTTTAAAATCTGTTGGCCAACAGCAGCTAGCAGCTGCAACAGGAAAAGTCATGCTCTGAGAACAATGTACTAACCAAGAAACGAATTAAAAAAACAGAAAAGAACCAACAAAATTAACAATTTAATAAATCAGAACCTTCCCGATCTTCAAACTTGCTGGCTATTTTGCACCAGGAAAATTAAGTAGAAAAGACAGGCTATTTTACACCAGGAAAATCAAGTAGCGAAGAGAAAGAGACAGAGAGAGAGAGATTGCAATCATTCGCTCTAAAGGCACAATTTTCACAGAGAAAGTGGGGAACTTGGACATAATTAGGGTTTCTACAGAACCACCACAGATAATGAAAATATAGTAATATACGTATATACCTTTGAGTAAATGATGTGTTTGGGTACAGTATAAATGCAAGCTTGGTTCAACATAGAAATCAGTACATCCATGGCACGTGGCACCTGTGCTCAAAATTGAACAAACACTGAAAATTGTAAGAAATTCTTGTATACTTATTCTGGTTCATCTCTATTATTTTCTAACACATAATGGAGGTCAAATCTTATAATAAAAAGAAAAAAGTCTAGCAATTTCAGATATACTAGCTAATAAAATTTGAGACAGTTCAACATGGATGAGCCACCTCATGTGTGTGGCAGCAATACTTAGCCAGAATACATACATATTCTACTAGCCTCGATTCCAACAGAGAGAGAGAGAGAGAGAGAGAGAGAGAGAGAGTCAAGACTATGTTAGTGACTTTTTTCCTCCACTACCGAGATAGTTATATCAATTAAAATAGAACATAATCAAACACAAAGAATTGAGCTAAGATGCTTCATGATAATTACTTTCTCAGGAAAATAATGATTGTCCAATGCATTAGTAAGGAAGAGTCTACTCTCCATTGTTGCTAGGGACACTTCTGATGACAAAAGATCTCAAATCACTTGAAGTAGCCATGCAACAATAAGGAAGAACAAAGTACATTACCTTTGATGTGACGAGAACAATGACACGAGCATATGCATAAACAGATCTATGAAAGCTTCCAGTAGGATTTTCACACACAGAGACAAACTGCAAAATCAAAGACATGAAAATAGAAACTAATCTCATTTTCCTTAATTCCAAGCTTAACTTTGGAGGATGTGCACGTAGATAAAACATCACATCTCAGAAGAATATGATTGCAGCAAAAAACTACAGAAATTGTTCATCTTCTGGAACTAAAGAGATCACCTTCTTCGCAAACGCTGTGATGCTGATGGATTGGGGACAAGAAGGATCCTTAATAAGATAAAACAACTCCGAGGCTTTAGCACTGCAATAAGAAACAATAAAAGGAAATAAAAGATGCATCAAACTACTCTTTCATGCATAAATCCAGATTATACCAATCAGGATTCAAGAGGAAACATTCAAAAATCTGTGACAAAAGCTACCCTTTGAGAATCTAGGACTGCAGGAAACAGGAAGAATGCAATGCTTCAAGATTTTATGTAGCCAAAACTGTTAATTGGACCAAAGTAATAGACATCTGACCTCACATTCTCTTCTGACCCTGAGATCTGGCGGATAGTTCTTGCTATTTTCTGCTCATGTTTACGATAGTCCTGAAAACACAGAGAGACAGCTTGTTAGTGCCACAAAACAAGCAAGTCCAGTATATGAAATGATACCATGCGATGCACTTCATGGCTTAGACCATTTGCAACATATTCCAGCAGCAAAATACAAATTAAACAGCTCTTTCTTAACAATGATTAAATTATGTTTCCGACAAATCCACAGAAATGAATAATTAAAAAATGCAAATGGTTGAAATCCTGATTGGCATTCTCCCTGAGGTTGGTGTGGCTAAAAGAGAGATGTGGCCAGGCTTCGTTTCTACTCACAATTTATGAAGGAAGAAACATGTATCATAGAAATACATCTAAATAAGAGTTAAAACTGCATTAGGTCTTTCTGTTCCTACCATCTTAGGATTCATTTGCATTTCAGCAGCTACTTCATTATAAATCTGCAATCTCCTTTCTTCCAATTTTAAAGCATTTTCTGCACTTCTGATTACGGTGCCTGGAACCATACCAGCAAGGTAAAACTCAAATCAAAATTCACTCTACTTGCAATACAAGTAGAAGCAAGAAAATATCCTAATAGTTCTGATACTGAATGTGTAAAACTAGCAGTAATTAATTATTCTAGACGCTTTTGTGACCAAGTTGGAAAATACAAGTGACTGAACAGTACAAAAGTGGAACCAACACTCACTGAACATCAAACAATGGACATATCCTAAAGCAACAAACCAGCTTACTCTGTGCATACATTAAAGGCCCAGAAAACAGAAGTCAAAGACATAATGTGTACAGAGCTAACATTGACTTTGATTTTGAGCTGACAATTAATAAGAAAAATTCAAACTTTAAGTTCTTAGCCTAGAGTATCAGTTTCTTAGAGAAAAAAAAAAAGTGGCACAAGGAAAAGGCAAAGGAACCAGAGAATCCATTGCCTACCCTAGGCAGTGTGCAGTGCAACAAAACTTTAGAAGGGTAACTACAAGAGAGCACAAATACCTTGTGGCTGTGCGCTTTTTGTGACATGAAGTACAGAACCCTGGGATCCATTAGCCTCAGTAGCATTGATAGAAACCCCAGCAGCAGAACTTTTTGTATCGGCAGATTTCTTCTTCTGTGCTACTTCTTCTGCTGCTCTTTTTTCAGCTTCCAACGCTGCTGTTTTTGCTGCTTCAACTCTCTCTGCTTCTAGTCTAGCCTGCATCTGGTAAGTGACAATTTACCAGTTATACAAGCTAAGATTTATCCGATACTCTTTATGAAGTCCTAATGAAGGATTTACATAGAGAAAGTTTAATACCTCCGAACAAATTGGCAATATGTGCAAGACTAAAGGGTAAACAATAAGGAATAGTGGAGGCAAAATGGGCAAAAGGAAAACCCAAAAATAGAGTGCCAAATGTAGAAAGCAAACAAACAGCTACTCCGCCTTCCTACTTTAATAATCAGCTCTACTTATTCTTTACAAGCCATAAAAACCATTCCAATGCCACACACCTTCTCTTGCAACCCTCTTCCCAACTTATTCAGACAAACCAAAACCATCAGTACGAAGGAAATTACCATTCGCTGAATAAAAGTTTAATACTCAAACTTCAGATTCAAAAATAGGTAAATGCTGGGAACTGGAGGAAGACATCAAGCTAAAATTTCTCTTTCAAGCAGCAACCAATTGCAAGCATAACATAGTATCAGCAAGTAAAATGCGATTAACTTCAATCATTAAGACAAACGTTAAGGCAAACCTCAGCTTCAGCTTTAATCTTTTCCTGCCGCACTTTTTCTTCATGAAGAGCTCTTTCCCTTCTTTGGGCTTCTTCACGAACTGCATCATCTCTTATTCTCCTTTCTTCTATTTGAGACTTGTGTTCATGATCCCTCTGTACAGCTGTCAGGTGATTATCCAATGCTTCTGCGCTACAGCACAAAATTCAAATGTCAAGAGACCGTCTCTCTATACCAAAACATGATTTTCAATTAACATTCTTTAACAATATAATGGGCATTGGCAAAAACCAAGAAAGTAGCAAATAAATCATAACTTCTCTCACAAATCATGTAATCACCATGATCAGAATACAAGCAAAACACATGAACGTTTTAGAAAGTTTCTGAAATAAAATTAACTAAGCATCATCATTAAACTTTTATATGCTGCAAATTAAACCACTTTTAATAACTCCCTGGAAGCTACAATCAAATTACTTACATTCTGCGTTGGTACTGCATATCGAATTTTCTGTCCAATTCCTGCCTTGTTTTTGTGTAATTCTCCACACGAGCAACTGTAGAGGCAAACTTCTCATTTTCATCAATGAGGCAAGTTTCCAATTCTGTTATTTGGTTTCTAACTACTTCCTGTTAATCAGAACAACAATGTTATATGACTCATTATAACGGCTAATAAAAAGACCGGAAGAACTTAACTCAGATAGTAGACACTTCTATTTGGAGAGTCGAGGAAGGGAATGAGGCAACGATATAGTACATTTGAAGCCTAAAAGTGGATTGTGCTAAACAGTTACTTGAGAAAAGGTGATACTTTCCCCTTTTAAAAAGTTTGACAAGAGTTCAAGCTTCAATGACAAAGCCAGAAACCAAACTTGCTCTACATTAAACATTCAAAGAAAATATTATAACGCCACATGATTCACGGAGCATCAAAAGTATCTCATGTAACAAGTAGAACAAGCAATCAAATGAGAAGAGAAAATTGTGCTACCATGGGTAAAAGGGAAAATTGAAATTATCAACACTAGTATCATAGCAGCATTTGTTCCAAATCAACTTTCACATTCCTATAAAAATTAAAGAACAGCCGGTAATGTGTGATGTTCATGCTTCCTACACAGTCAAATAATTAAACAACAAAAAAGTTGTTAACTTGCAAAATAATATACCATTACTCCAAGTTGGTGTTCATGAGTTAGCTCAGAAAGTGTGCCTTCAGCAAAACCAACATGAGGCATCAAATTTCCTTGCATTCCAAAAACGGATTCATCCTCAGAATCTTCACCGTCACTGCAGTAACAACACGCCTATAAGGTGGGTGAGGAGCCTCAACAATTGTCAGCCACATGTTACTGTGCAACGTACAAACTAGCATAAGAAATTTATATCAACACAACAGTGTAAGAACAACAACTTCTCACATAATTTGGAAGTTGCATATCAAAAGTTGTTTTTATCTAGTTGTTTAAGTTCATGCACTTTCTGTGTTAGTATCTACATTTCTAGTACTAAAGAGTACATTGCAGAGTAGAATTTTGACTGTCATTTGTGGAGGCATTTGATGATCCCCTATAAACATAACAATTTGAGAACTCAAGACAATCAAATTGAGCAACGGTAAGGAAAATTATATTGAACCTTCAAGTGGTGATAAAAGTTGAAGGAGACAGGAAGATGGTAAAGACCTGAATACTGCTCTATGGAAGACCAAGTATGTTATGGTAAAGTAGTGGTTGACCAGCTGATTACTAGACTGAAGATTGAGATGAAGAATAGGAAGTGATTGGTGAAGGTTGAGAGTCAAAACTAAGTATACAAAACAATAGGACCTGTTCTATTATGTCGCCTTAGACAAATGGAACTAGTTTCGTCACTTAACATTTGGTAACTTGGCCCAACCAAACTCCCTCTTCACACTTTTTTTCGGTCAGAAAATTTTTCCACATAATATTCAGAGAAAAGAATCATAATACATAAGCGCACCTTATAGAGAGTTCATCACAACCAAATCTCCTGCCTGCAACCATGGCTCGATGGTTATGATGACCCTCCTCAACATTATCCGTTTCAACACCGAATTCATCATCCAGCACTTGCATCACAAATGGCCCTGGACTTTCATTCTTAGCCTTCCACTTTAAAACTCTGGACGAAATTACAAGGTACTAATGATTTTAAGCACACAAAGACTTTAAATGTAAATATCTCTATATACAATCACAACGCACACAGACATGCTAAATTGTAATGGTCATGCAGCTTATAAGGTAAGTAAGGCGAAAAGCGTACGGAGCATCAGTCTTGCTAGGAGGAGAAGAAATTTGCAAAGAGACTTTGAGCCTGTTTTCGAGTGAGTTGAGGTCGAAAAGAATAGCATCAAAACTCCAATCAGGCTGTGGATCCGCTGCAATTCCATCTGCATTTTTCCGATACCGGACTTCTAAAGTAAAATCTTTCCTGTTCCAAACAGAACCATAAAAGATCAGTGCAATCTGATTCGTTTCCCCAAAACTCTAGGAAAAATAAAAAAGATAAAAAAAAATAATATTGAGTTGAACACCAAACCAAAAAAAAAAAAAATCACTTACATTGTCTCAGTCGAGGCCAAAGTTGGGAAGAGAAGTGCACCGTTACGAAATGCTGCCTCCTAATTCTCAGAGGTGGATAACTTCTACTAGATGCTTGGATTTCGTATCTACGCAAAGATTTAGGTTTTCTTTGTCTTTTCAGTTCAATTGCAAAAAGGAAATGGCAAACCCTAGCTCAAAATTCGGGACAAAAAAAGAATTTTGGGAACGGGGAAATTCAAGATATGCTGACCTGTATCCAATTGGAAAGAACGGATTGCCGGGCGACGGCAAGGGCAGCGGCACGGAGCTGATGAACTCAGGGGGCGGGAAATTGGGAACGTATTGTGATGTGAATTTGACAGCAGCCCTCTCTTTTGCAGCGAAACGGAGAAGCACTTGCAGCTGACTGGTCTGATTATGGCTGGAGACGTGGATTTTATGTGCAACTACGTAATAAATTCCTCCTTCCGCTTTTAGGTTGGGGTTTTGAAGGCGTGTCATTGAATGGGCGACTCTTGTACAGGATTCTCTGGTTCTAGCCTCTAGGTTTCGCGCCTTGTGGCGCCCGAAGACCCCAATCTTTTTTTTTTTTCAAATTAATCTTCTATATAGTGATAGTGTATAAACTTTCACCATTAAATGCATGACATATAATTTGAATTTAAATATGAAACTCAAATTTTGCATATATGTCGTATCTTCAGCCGTGATGGTGTACACCATCAATATATATAAGATTTTCTAAAATTTATTACAATACAAGCCTTCGAACCTCTTATAATTTTTTTATTATCCTGAAAATTTGATATTTTTTGTTTGGAGTAAGAATTATATATAATTTTTGGGGAGGGCAAAATCAACAGGTTAATAGCGATGCCCTATTAATCATAAATATTTTTTTATTTCCACCACTTTTAAGAACTTTTCACCACTCATTCTTTTTTTTAAAAAAAATATATTCATGAAATTACCTGTCATCTGTTAATGAATTTAACTCTTACTTCTCAAGAAGCATATAATGCATGTTATTTTTAAAGATGTTACCTCACTATTATATACCTAAATTCCAAAACATTGTTGCAATTAATTTAATATCATGGCATATACACTATTCCTATAATATCAGGTAGGTAGATTCCAAATTAAGCAAGAGTTGATTCCAAAGTGTAAAAACCAACCTTCCTCCAAGACATTAATGTTGATTTGTTTACAGTTCAACTCTCCTATATATAATTGCCCTTTGTATAATTAGCTTCTTTGAGATGTTCAATTAGAAAAGGAAATAGTCGTGTATATAATAATTACTAGTACTATTTTATCGTAGGAGATGAAAGGGCTGTTAAAGAGTAGTTTTTCCGTCTTTAAACATTCCATGTTTAGCTGAACGCCATGAAATGAAAGCAAAACCAGTTGTAAGCAAGAGAACTTGCATGGATTGGCTTGAAAGAAACCACCGGGCCAATGGCTTAGTGGTCACCAGGGAGGGGTTTAAGTCCCTCCTTGGCCCGTAGGAGCACTCTGTTAGTCTAGTTGGATCTGTATATCCACTAACCCCCTATCACAGCCTCCTTAAGCTCCTCCTTCCCCTAAATTAGATTAGAATAGAATATGTTATACAAATGTATCGTTGTTGCTGACAAAAAAAAAGAAAAAAGGATTGGCTTGTAAGAATTCCAAATCTAAAAGCTTGTCCCGAAAGCATTAACAAATTATTATTGTGTTTATTAATTTTCTGGACCTCACTTTCACCGGCTATGGCGGCTAGCGATGCGTGACCTTCGACACCTCTCCATTTCTTAATGCTTAAAGACTGCTAATTCCAACACCAATTCTTAGACACAAAACTTTTCCTCCCATCCCCAGTTTAGCATGGTATATAGTTTCTTGCATTGAAGTTCTGGCTTGCCATAATTAGCATTATATGGATAAGAACGCTGCATGAAGGCTTGTTTCCCGGCATAATGATTTCTAGTTTTTACTACATGGTCGGGAAAAAGTACTTTAACGTCCAAACAAATTCTATTTTATCTTGACAAGCGACCATAAGCATTTCGGTATGGATCCTTCTTACACTAAATCTTTTACATGTAGAGGTAAGCCTTTAATTATAGGGTTTTTTTTAGAGGATGTCGAGATCATCCGTTGCCACACCTAAATAACATATAATCATGTAAATGTATATACGAATAATTATTATTTTCTATTATATTTATATTTTTTTAATTAATTTTACTTTTTTTTAAAAAAAATATAACATCTAAATTACATTTTAACGAGCTGGCACTTGTTAAATGGATTCTTAATAAAATTACATCCAAAATTCAGTTAACTTAAACCCCAAAAGATCTAACAGCCATTTCGAATAACATTTTTGACCAGTTGCTCGTTGCAAACGTACTTAAATCAAGATAATACTGCTCGTGGTGATGGTGTGATTAAAAAATTTAATTAAATCAATTACAAAAGTTTTTTACTGTGTCTTATATGATGCACAAGTTTATTGTTCACACTACTCTTTGAAGTGACAAGAATATATCTCGGACTCCTTTATTAAATGATCGATCTTTAAACTTTTAACACATGGTAGAGAAAAAGTTTCAAAACTATGCAGTTGTAGTTTTCCAAACGCTTTTAACAGGCCAGATTTACTTGAGGATGAATAATTTGAAAATAAGTAATCCACTTTCATCCAATCTAAGCATTAATTCGTGCTTGCTCACAACATTAAAATCATATATATATATATATATATATATATATATATATATAGAAATATTATTATTTGTCCTTTTTTATTTTCTATTCCTTTTTGTAATCTAGCTAATTGAGACTTAAAAGGCTGGAGTCTTTGACCTTTGGAGATAGAAGAGCCAACGCCAAGTTTGCCTTATTCTAAACTCCACGTTAAACTGCTGTTCTCACAGATTTTACTTCCACGAAACAGAAACGTGAACAAAGAAGAAACATAAATCGCAATCATCATATATAGAAACAAATCTAATAAGTATTCAATCTCCACATCGCTTCTTGACCAAACCATCTTTGTAACTTGCCCTTGTTGTTTCTGGACCATAGCATATAAACCACAGATCATTCTATTCCTTTTCATGTATGCTTTGCCATAATAAACCACAGATCAAGTCCTGAAAAGGATGAAAACCATGAAAGGGTTCAGTTTTTGGCAACATGCTCTTTCTTTCACCTTTTTAGTTTTTCTTTTCTTCCCTAGTCTGGGTATCTTTTCGCAGAAAGCTGTGATGGGGCAACCGCTTTACACCAATTCCCGGTGGATTGTTAACGGATCAGGGCAACGAGTCAAACTGGCTTGTGTGAACTGGGTAACACACCTTGAAGTTGTTGTGGCTGAAGGCCTGAGCAAGCAGCCGGTGGATGTAATTTCCAGGAGTATTGTAGATATGGGATTCAACTGTGTCAGGCTAACTTGGCCACTTTTCTTGTTCACCAATGATACCTTGGCTTCCCTCTCCGTCAGGCAGTCTTTTCAGAAGCTTGGACTGACCGAGTCCATTGCTGGATTTCAAGCCAACAACCCCTCCATAATTGATCTTAGCCTCATCAATGCTTATCAGGTATATAAATGATTTAAAAATTCTTAGTTTGACTGAGGACTTCATATGTCCAACTATCAAAAACGAAGGCCGGAGTTAAGGGTGCAGGTTTTACTAATGAAGTTTGTAATTATGCATGAGAAACAAGAATTTGGGAGATGAAGATATCAATATTACAGGTCCTATTAGCTTATGGAGACTGATCAAGGCACTTGTGTCGATCGGTTAGAAAAGTTGGAAAGAAATATTTGCCACACAAATACACAGTGACGTGTGTATGCTAAATAGTAGGAGTACAAGATAATATAAAGTTTTACCGGCCGAAGAATTGCCCCAAGAAGCCTAACGTTGTATCCAAATATATACGATGATCTCATGCAATTTGTAGCGTAGGTAATGAATATGTTATAGTGACACAACAACATTCAAGTCAAATTGTTAGCTACAATTTATTTGCACCATCCAAAACCTTATCTGCAAGACTTTTCCTTTCTGATAAGCGCGCACACACACATACGTACCGTTGTATTGACTTCAAAAACAACAGTTGAGAGTGACTTGGATGACAATGAAACAGAAGTTATCATCTGTTGTCGGCTTTTTTCTTATTGGCATGGTATAATGATAATTAATAATCGAACTTCACACATGATGCCACAACATGTACCAACTATCACACATATATATATATCTGCGACTTAATTATAAACCCACGTCTTTGATTTGCTGAGGAAAGAATAAAATCAAAATCCTCTTTCTTACGAGATGATGATGAAATTTGCGTAATTACAGGCAGTGGTGGCTAGTCTTGCAAGCAACAATGTGATGATCATCCTGGATAACCATATAAGCAAACCAGGCTGGTGCTGTAGCAACTTTGACGGCAATGGCTTCTTTGGAGATCGGTACTTCAACCCTGACCTGTGGATCAAAGGCCTGACTGAGGTTGCCGCCATGTTCTGTGGAATCAACAACGTGGTTGGCATCAGCTTAAGAAATGAACTCCGAGGACCCAAACAAAATGTAAACGATTGGTACAGGTACAAAACGTAACATAACATCATGGTCAATACTAATAATTAGGCACTAGAAATTAATCAGTTGACAAAACCTCTAATAACTCGCGCTAATTAAGTTTTAATAAAAATAACTTAATTTTTTTCGTTATTTGCATGCTCATAGGATGTGCTTTTCCCACTAATAGTTACAATTCCAACTCAAAAGCCATTGATTGCAATTGAATTAACATAATTTCTTGTAGCGGAACAATAAAATTACAATAGCAACAATAATCCATCTCTTATACTATTCCTTTTTTTTAAAAAATAAAAATTTAATTTCATGGAATTAATTGAGGTTGATCTCATATGAAAGGTCTCATGATCCACCAACAAATGCTTGTGAAATGGAACAGGTACATGCAGAAAGGAGCAGAAGCAGTGCACGCAGCAAACCCAGATGTTCTGATAATTCTTTCTGGTCTGAACTACGATAAAGATTTCTCTTTCCTCCTCCAAAAGCCGGTCAACTTAACGTTCTCCGGCAAGCTGGTGTACGAGGTGCACTGGTATGGTTTCTCAGATGGAAAGGCTTGGGAAACGGGCAACCCGAACCAAGTTTGTGGACGATTGGTGAACGACATGATGCGGAAATCGGGTTTCTTGTTGGATCAAGGGTACCCGCTGTTCGTGAGCGAATTTGGTGTGGATCTAAGGGGAACTAATGTGAATGATAACAGGTTCTTGAATTGCTTCTTGGGCTGGGCCGCTGAACTGGACTTGGACTGGGCGCTTTGGACACTCGTTGGAAGCTATTACTTGCGAGAAGGGGTGGCTGGAAAGGATGAGAGTTATGGGATTTACAATTGGAATTG